TTGCGAATTGTGTTTTGTGCACCAAACAGTGCCAACATTGTGTGGCACCCTGCAGCACCCTTGAAAGAATCTCACCTGAGTTGAAAATCACTAGTGTAGTGTAGTAACTAGGGCTGTGCGAAGCTTCAGTCCCTGATTCCATTCAGCAGATATTCAAACCAATTCAGTGGTTGAATCTCCGAATCTGAGTCAAATCGGGAGACCCTTTAATCTTTCCAAATAGATCTGGAACGCTCCAAATTGATTCAGAGATTCGGATGTAGATACAGCTTTATTTCTTTTTCTACATACCTCGTCAATGCTGCAATGGTGGGGCGGATGGAGTGTCACACAGGACCACAGGGGAGTCCCAACAGCACTCAGCAGCAGACCTGGAAGTGGACCAGAAGCACTTCCAGTCTATTCCCAGGTCCACCAAGGAGTGTGCTGGGGGGGACCCTGCCAGCTAGGCGACTGGTGCCTCCTGGGACTGGGGGGCACCCATGGTCCACCCCGTGGCGGATTGGACATACTTCTGAGCTCACCACTGAGCATGCGGGCCTACCCCCCGCCACGCTTCATTGGGACACTCCATCCCAATGGAGCATCACAGCATTCCTGAGCCATGTCTGGTACCTTGAGGTATGTAAAAAAAACATTTAGAGCTGTGTCTATGGCTGAATCGCCGATTCTCCGAATCGGCATCAAATCTTCAGAATCAGATTTGGCCAAATCGAATTGGGGACAGTGATCCGAATCAATGAATCAAATCATTGTCCCTGATTCAGGCCGAATCCAAATCGAATATGGCCTGTGTCACATGCCCCTAGTAGTAAACCCTCTTTACTGTCAGTAACATTGTTTGATAGGTATGGCTTTGTAAAGTTGAAGTAACATTCCTTTACATGTAATTCAAGGCTGTGATAATTGCCCCACATTCCTCCACTATTTTAAAAGCCACTTATTATATTTTCTACTTGTTCTTCATTAATAAAACAACCATCAGTAAAAATAAAATGCCTTACAACTTATTTTCTGCTGGGAGGATTTTGTTGCTTTGGCAGATCAATGAATTGGATAAGTCTTGGAAAAAGTGCACGACATTTGTTGTACAGTATGTTTTATTACCTGTTCTGGTGTTGGACTGTTTTAATGTGGAGTTATGTAAACTGGTTTTCTGAACAAATGGATATAGTAGACTTTGATTACAATGTACAAATGTGTTTTATGACTAGAGACACAAAGTGTTACCATCACATTGTTCCTCTATAAAATAATTCCTTTACATCACTGTAGAGTTTATTTTTCCCAGGCCCTGTTTTTTAAATGCAGACATCTATTTTTATTAATTAAAATGGTTTCTTACCTTCTGTATCATTATGTAATAGTTTAAAGTCTCAGTACTTTAAACACTTCTTCACACCTGCTCCACATGACTTCTTACAGGTGACTTAAAAATGTGGGAATTGGAAGTGTACAATTGCTTACACTACAATGATAGTAGTTTATCTCTGGTAGTTTTCTGCTTGGTAACTGATTATTCTTTTGATGAATAATTTAATGCATAGTTTCTTTTTAAGTAATTTTATAAAGTTCCTCATTTTTATAAAAAGAAATCTGTATGTTGGTCTATATCGTGCTTGGTAGTTCTGTCTTCTAGAGAAATAGTGGGGCGTTAATCAAGTAGTGGATATTTTTGGTGGTTAAGTGTATTGCAGAAATGAGGCATGGTTCTGAAACTGAAGTGCTGCTTACTAGGGCTGTGCGAAGCTTCAGTAGCTGATTCGATTTAGAGGAGATTCAGCCCAATTTGGGGACCAAATGCGATTCAAATTGGGAGATCAATTAAAAGCTCTGAATAGATTCGGAGCATCTGAATCAATTTGGAAAAGATTCAGCCATAGGCTAAGCAGGCAGCTGACACAGCTGCCTCCAGCTGGTAAATCTGTTGGGGGAGGAGGGAGGGAAGGAGCATGGGGGAGGGAGGGGATTGGGGCTGGGACTGGGACAAGCTGCCCAGCCGGGGT